TAATTATAATTTATTCATAATTTTTAAATTATAATCACTAGAGTGCTTTTTATTTATTTTATTTTGTTTTTATCTATTGTTGGCCAGTCAAACTGCCCTGAGGGTGGGTCTGGCACAGCATGTGGATCAAACCGTGGTTCCCTGTGCCTGCTTAAACTTGCCTAAGCAGACACTTTAGATTGCCGAGATATCTCACCAGCCCCACTAGAGGGTTTTTTAAAAGAAATTATTTTTTAAAAGTACTTAGATTATCTGAGATTTCAGTAAGGAAAGATAAAATTTCTTCCAGTATAGCTAATTAAATATAAATTTTGATGTCATTAAGAAACACATAATTCAGGCCAGGGAGATAGCTCTGTGGCATATGTGCCTGCCTGGAAAGTGTAGGATCCTGAATTTGATCCATGATACTAAAAATAAATAAATACATATATAAAGAATTACATAATTCATTGAATATATTTCATTTCAAGATGAAATTTAATTATGTTTTAAATCCTAATAAACTATATTAAACACACTATTGGTAAATATAACAGCAGTTATTAGGGATTTTTTACCTTTAGTGTGTTCATGTACTTGGATACCTATATACATATGCCATTATCATAAATAGACTGTATTTTTCTTTGGGAACAAGGATAAAATGGAGGGTTGCATTCGTGCCAATAACTCAACATAAAAAATTATATATATATATATATATATATATATATATATATATATTAGGTAGGACTCACACATAATTGTGTTTCATGAAATTGTGTTTCAGTGTAGTATATTATGACTAAATAAATCTAATGATTGGTCTGATTGAAGTTGAAACTAACAACCAATATTTGAATAAGCACAAAACAAATGAATGTATACATAAAATTATCAAGCATCTATATCAGTGATCTTCTTGCTCTTAAAAAATTTGCTTTAGCAAGAAACCACATTCCTGATTCCTCCATTAATCTTATCACTAGAGCTAAAGTGATTCAATTTCCATTTAATAATTTGTCATTAGTCTACTTGAAGCATTGTAAAAACAATTCCTGGCCAGTAATTGTTCTTTATATCATCAAATTTATCCATACTGCTATGTCATAATAAGGTGAGGCATAGTGGTATTATGTTTCTTTTCTTCTTTAAGGCTAGTGAGTAGCCTTCACAGGCTACTGTAAAAACAAATGTTTATTAAAGATGTTCCAGTTGGAATTTCAAACACAATTGACACTAGCTTCAGCAAGTATAAGATTAGTTCTGCCTACCTATGTTTCAATGAGGTAGCCCAACTTAAATATTTGTGGAACATTTTCTAAGCACAAAGTGTTCCAGATAGAATACAAAATATAAAGATGAATCCTCAAGGCATAGATACAAAGAAAAGAAGATTAGTTCTATAATTTAAGAAAAGAGTAACTCTGGGAAGATATCCAGGATAGCATGTGTTTGAAAATATGACTTTGAAGGACCTGGAAGATAACTCAGTGGCATAAGCACCTGCCTAGCAAAAGCAGGGTTCTGAGTTCAATCCCTGGTTTAAAACAAAAAACATATATATATATATATATATGACTTTGATTTAGAGGATTCTGTTTGTCTGCAGGTGAGAAATAGAGATCACAATTTCTGGTTGTAAAAGCAGCTTGAATAAAGATACATAAGTGTGAACAAAAATAAAAATTTCATTTTAATTGCAGGTAATGATTTGTATTGAGATAATCAAAACCGATGAGGGAAAGGCCTAGACCTGGGATGAAAAGCTGAGAATGCAGGTGCCAGGTGGCCCAGTGATACAAATTCAGAAAAGAGTGAATACTTACAAAGGGCAGTTATTAAACTTTCAGAAGTTTCATTCTATTGGTGTCCAATATTGGGTGAAAGAAACTTACCTTTTGTGATATAAGAAGAGAATATGGATGGAAATGTATATACTGGGTGATAGGAGTTTTCAGTAGAGCAGGGAAATATCTTGGAATAAGAAAGAAAGCTGGCAGATACTAAAGTTATGATTAGCAAACAGAACTAACCAAGAACCATGGTGTGCACATGGGGTCAAGGAGGTCCTGTATTGAATAATGTGTTTCTGTGTGTGAATAGACACTCAAATATTAGAAATTCAGCCTGTATTATAGCTTTTCTGGCTGTTGTAGTTAAATCAAATGCTTA